GACCAGATTCTAAGACTTCGGACTGCGCTTTTGCTTTGTTTAAAAATATTCACTTGAATACAAAAGAAAAAAAAAACCGATTACTAGTTTTTGTCTGTCCAAAAAACATGATTGGTTTAAGAATGTTCTTCTTAGTTTCAGAAACAGTGAGTACATCACTGACTAGTAATTATAAAAATCATTATTTTACTGGTTTTAGCTTATCTTCTGCTTAGCATTTGGGGAGACATGAAATACCTTATTACTGACCTGCTTTCTAGAAATTTGCTATTGCTTTCCCATAATGCTCATTTACCTCTTTGTGGAGAGGTTACTGTCTAGGATGACTCTTGACCAGTGGATGAAAAGAGCTAAAAGGAAGTGAAAACAACAGAATGTACCACATATATTTGCATCACTTTAGATTTTAAATGACTCTCAATTTAATTGAATGTAAATTAGATGAGGGACAATAAATGCTTCTAAAATGCAAAGACCTTGTTCTCTCTGTTGTATTTATGTGTATGCCTGTGTATATATGTTAATGTAAATGAAAGCAGTGGACTTTCTCTTTAGACCTAAGTAAATATCGTATATGGTCTACATGGAGGTGGATTTGTACATGCTTTTGTTTTTATTATGGTATCTATGCTATAAAACAAAACACAACTTAATTTTTTTGTTTCTATAAAACAAAACACCTTAAATTCATGTACAGGCACTCAGTGAAAAAAGGAGCAAAGACTTTAATGTGAGCCAACAGAAAAATAAAATTACAGTATGAATGTTAACAAGTTCAGACAGATGCTTCCAATGTTGTGAAGAAAATATTATTTCTGCCATTAAATGCAGATTTTAGTGAGTAGCTAGGCATAAAGTCCTTCATTTACAAACTATTATCCCCCCCCCAATTTAAATATTTTCTCTTATTTTTCTTAAGTTAGGATCTGGAAGCGTACCTGGAAAGAGCAGGTCTTGGGGAGCTGACGAGTACCGAGCATTTGGTCTTTTATTTCACCGGGTATATTGGGACTCGAATCCCTGTGCTACGGCCCCTAGGCTTTAGTGTTATTCAAACACTTCATTAATTACATTTCTGCTTCCGTATATTCCCCTGGCAGAGGAAGACATGGCTAGATAGCGTCACTGACTCAATGGACGGTAATTTGCGCTAACTCTGGGAGACAGTGGAGGACAGAGGAGCCTTTGCGCTGCCATCCCTGAGTTTGCAAAGCGTCAGACAGGCTTTGAAACAGAACCACCACCACAACATTCCCCTGCGAATTCAGAAACAGCTTAGCAGAAGCTGAGTGTTTGTGCTTCATTACTGTGTCCAACTTGCTCTATGGAAGGAAGGGTGCTGCAAATGATTTGTATGGTGTGTGTCAGCTACCCGGAAACTATCTCCTCCTTCTCAAGTCAAAGAGGAAACTCAGTGAAATTCTAAAAGATCCCCGTTCATCCAACTCTTTGTGATTGTTCATTGTGGTTTTGAAATATTCTCCTTCACTACCTCATGTCGGAATATTGTACTTTGATCGTATTTTCTTTTATCTTGAAATACAATCCTATGTCATAAAATAATCCTTCTAATGTATACAATTCTCTGATTTTTAGTGCACTTTCGAGTTTGCTCACTCATTACACTATCTAGTTCCAGAACATCTTCATCAGTCCAAGAAGAAATCTACACCTACTAGCTCTCCCTCTCCTTTCCTCCCTCTTGAGCCTGGCAATTGCTAATCTACTTTCTGATACTATGTGGTTTCCTATTATTGGCCTTGCCTATAAAGAGAATCATGCAGTGTGTGTGTGTGTGTGTGTGTGTGTGTATGTGTGTGAGTGTGTGTGTGAGTGTGTGTGTGTGTGTTTCCCGTTGGGTTTATTTTCTTCAGTAAAATATTTTCAAGTTTCATCAATGTTGTTACACGTGTTAGAATTCTGTTTCATTATGTGGCTGAATAGCATTTCATGTTATGGATATAATGCACTTTGGTGATCCATTTTTCAGAAGGATGAACACTGGCTTGTTTCTACTTTTCAGCTGATAGGAATAGCAACAATATAAACATCCTGTCAATCCCTTTCAAGACGGCTCTCATTACCAAATATTAGCTTTTTCCCATTCTCCAACTACATATCATCCAAGGACATTTCACTGATTTTGTGACTTCATCACATTGTCTAAATAGTGCACTCTTTTCTGAATTATGTTTATTTTATTTATTTAAGATTTCTTTTTTACTACGTTAAAGGCCACAGGAATAAAATCAATGGTTGTTTTGTATTTCCTAAACTACATGGTACTAGGATTTGTAAATGTAGTGGTTTCTAAATATTTATTGTTATGCATTTCTCACTATCAAATGAAGAACAGAGAACAATGACAAGGATAAAAACATACTTGCTTTTGGAATTTTCTATATATATAAATCATATGAGTGAAGATGTCTCATTTTAAAAATTGTGCACAGTGATGATTTTTTCTAAATCAACAGAGTTCTATTATTTTTCTTAAAACAATTTGTTTACTATTATTTATATTAGTTGTATACAAAACTGGAAAAATATCTTGGACGTTACACTTTTATGTCCTCCTTAAGTCCTTCCAAACAGATAGCAATGGAATTCTCCATACTACAAAAACATGGTCTACCATCTAGGTATCTGGTGTGATACCTGGTGTGATACCTAAGGTCACAGAAAGTAAAATAGTGTCTTAAGTAGATGGTTATTTGTGGAACTCAAATAGACAAAGAAAGATGTTTAACCAGGGCTGAGAATGAGGAAAAAGGAAAGGAAATTACCTTAGATGGTATGACACAGTGTTGATAGCTGATAATGACAGCACAATAATGTACTTTACCAAGGCTCTTCCCATTGCTCTTTGTAACCTAACTTTCAACTTCTTTTCTTCTTTTTTCCCTGATTTATTCAGATATAACTGTCAAATAGCATTTACATTCATTAGATATACAAAGTGATGATTTGATATATGTATACATTGTGAAATGATTACCACACTAAAATTGGTTAACACATTCATCACCTCACATAGTTACCATTGTAGTGTGTGTGTAGTGAAAACATTTAAGACCTACATTTGTAGCTAACTTCAAGTTTATAATAGGGTATGGTTAACTAGACTCACCATGAATATTAGATCTCCAGAACTTATTCATCAAATGTAATAACAAAAAGCTTGCACACTTTGAACAGCATCACCCATTTCTCCCACCTTCCAACTCCTAGCAACCAATACTCTTCTTTCTGTTCCTGTGAGTTCATTCTACCATTTTAGAGTCCACATCTACATGAGGTCATACAGTACTAGTTTTTCTCTGACTGACATATTTTACTTAGATTAGCATCCTTGAGATTATCCCATGGTGCAGAAAGCATGACTTCTTTCCTGCGAAAGACTGGGGATTCTCTACTGCAAGTCCTGTCCAATTGTCACATCCTCTGACTGCTATCTTTTCATCACCCATCATGGATCTTTCTTAGATATGAGACTGAATATCTTCATCCAGAGATGCTTTTACTTTACACTAGTTTTAGATACTTTGCTTTTGGATTTACAGTACTCAGTTTTTTATTCCATGATGATTTTTTTTATAAGACAAAAATTTAATGAAAATTGGTATGTAATAATCCAAAGGGCTAAATAGTTACATAGGACTGTATTAGAAATTTAACATACAAGTAAATGTTACATGTTATCATCATCTGATTCATCTTCTTCCTTCAAAGATTCCTTGGCATATTTCTCTGCCTCTTCCCTTATATCTTTAGGAACTATTTCATGTCTTCCATTAGTTATTTCACCAACCCAGCTGAGCTCTAGTTCAAAAGCTTTATCCTTAACTTCATCGTGGACTATATGTTGTTCTTTAACAACATCACGGCAGGTCATTTCTTTCATCTGAAGTTTTTCAATTTCTGTCTTTGCAGCCTGCCTGGCTTTGCCAATGGCACAGCCCCAATAACCATATGAAACACCCGATGGGTCAATCATGTAGAGTTGTGCACTGTCATTTACACTGTAAGACCCTAACATGAAACTGCAGCCAAAAGATCTAACAGCACTGTAGAGTGTATACGCGTGTACATACACGGCCACTCTGTCTGCAAGATGTTTTAGTGGAATGTTATATCCAAAGTTAGATCTAAAGTTGGAAGCCTCTTCTCTTGCAATGTCTGCTAAAGAACGAGCATCTGTCAACAAACCTGCTACTGCCATTATAACATGTCAATCAACATTAAAAAGTCGTTTGTTGGAACCTTCTTCATAAAGTTTAGAGAGGACTAATTTTTCTACCCCAAAGACAACGCCGTCTTTACATCTGATTCCAATAGCTGTACCCGGTGCCGATTGAGCTCATCCTGCTAAAATCACTGGGACGCTTACGGCTTCAGGCCTAAAGCGATCCCCCAAACACCACAGCAAGAGACTCTCCATGATGATTTTTATATGAATTTATTTATTTTAATTGGAGGCTAATTACTTTACAATATTGTAGTGGTTTTGCCATACATTGACATGAATCCACCACAGGTGTACATGTGTTCCCCATCCATGATTATTTTAAGACTGATTATAACTTACTTGACAGTTTAGTTCATTATTGTCTAATACTAGCACCAACTTAAATTCAATAATATAGAATTTTTTAAAATGTACTATAATATATAAAGAATCTAAGTGGTAGAAGGTTACTCAATACATGCATAATGTCTTAGTGAAATTGAAATAATGTTTGAATGGAAAATTACTCCAGAATTAGCACAGTTAGAAATATCAAAAGCTTTTTCAAAAATAATAAGTGCCATATAGAAACTCTGGCCACATACTAAGCATAACATGTGAGGGGAACTGCAATATCTCTTAATAGCAGGGTTTAATACAAATAATTTAGGAATCTGAAAAAAATATGTTTCTCATTTATCATGCCATATAATTTTCATTAAGCAATTACTATATGTGTGTAGTCATATGTACAGATATATAATAACAATATTTAAAAATATAGTTTATTTTTCAGTTTTTCTAGGGCCCCTTTTACATCTTTGTTCCGCAAACTATAAATCAGAGGGTTTAACATGGGAATCACAAGAGTGTAAAACAATGAGGTCATTTTGTCTTCATCTAGAGAGTATGAAGAACTCGGCCTGAAATACATAAAGAGCAGAGTTCCCTGGAAAATTGCCACAGCAGTTAGGTGGGAGGTACAGGTGGAAAAAGCTTTGAACCTCCCCTCAGCAGAGTGGATTTTCAAGACTGAAAGGATGATATAACAATAAGAGACAAGAACTCCTGAAATTGTACTCATTTCAATGAAACCAAAAACAATAAACACCACCAACTCATTGACCTGTATATCAGAGCAGGAAAGGAGGAAAAGTGGAGGTAAATCACAGAAGAAATGGTTAATCACATTTGACCCACAGAAGCATAAGCGGAAAGCTAATGTCGTGTGTATCAAAGCATCTGCCATTCCCACCAGGTAAACCCCCGCCATGAGCAGGGAGCACAGCCTGCTGGACATGCTGACCGCATAGAGCAAGGGGCTGCTGACGGCCTTGTACCGGTCATAGGCCATCACTGCCAGCAGGAGACACTCAGAATCGACAAAGATACAGAAAACCAAGAACTGCAGAGCGCAGCCACAGAAAGAGATTGATTTGTTCTTGGCAAATAGGTCCACCAGCATCTTAGGGCCGATGGCTGTGGAATAGCAGAGGTCACAGAAGGAGAGGTGGCTGAGGAAAAAGTACATGGGTGTGTGCAGCTGGGGATCCATCCTAATCAGGGTTATCATTCCAAGATTTGCCAGAAGGTTGATGAGATAAACAAGGAGAAACATTGTAAATAGGATCACTTTGTCCTCAGTGTTATCAGTAATTCCCAAGAAAATGAATTCAGTCAAGGAGGAACAATTCTCTCTACTCATTCTTCTTTGTTCTTTTCTAAAGTTCTAGCAAGTGATCAAGAAAATGACATGTTATGTGTAACACTTCTGCACATCTGCAAAATGTCATAAGATAGATCATGATTTTTTTCTATAATTATAGTTTTATATTTAGAAAATAATTCATGTTAGGTGAACGTACACTTGAAGAGGGATAGCTGTATACTAAGCAATAATAAAAATTATCTGGAATTGAACTTTGAGAAATAGTGATGTAAATTCAGACATCATTCACGAGGTATGCTACTTTTTACAAGCTCTTCTCTGAGCATTGTTTTCCTTATCTCAGTGGGTAGATACTGGTAAATTTCACTCTCCTTATCTCTGCACAATAATTTGTAAGAGACACCAGTGGTAGAGAAGCCAGTTTTAAGACATGAGACTAAGCATTTTCTATGCTTGAAAATATTCACTTGAATACAAAAAAATGATTAGAAAAGATAATTACAAAATTTATGTTTCTCAAAAACACATGATCAATTTAAGAGTCTTTAAGTTAGTTCCAGAAACAATGAGTATAACACTGACCAATGTTGATTAAAAAAAAAAATTATTATTTAGTTTATGTTGTGTTTGGTATTTGGCGATCCATGAGATAAGTATTATTTACCTTTATGCTGGAGATTTGTAGCTGCTTTCCCTCAATGCTCTTTATCTCTTTCTGTAGTAGTTGCAGTCAAGGGATGAATCTGTTGACCAGTGGGGGAAAAAAGTTAAAAGGAAGTAAAAGCAACGGAATGTACCACGTACATGTGCATCGCTTTAGATTTTAAATCCCCTTTAAATTAATAAAGTGTAAATGAAAAGAGTGACAATAAATACTTTTAAAATACATAGACTCCTCTCTATGTTATATGTATGTATCTATGTGTGTGGATATGTATATATATATTTAATGTATCTGAGAATAGAATGTAAGGAATAGACTTTTTCCTTCCGTTCAGTTCAGTTCAGTTGCTCAGTCATATCCGACTCTTTCCGACCCCCAGAGCATATGTATGGTTCACGTGGAGATGAGGTTTTAATTTTACTGTGGTACCTACACTATTTTTTCAATAAAACAATATATACCTTAAATTGTTTTATAATACTTACCAAATGATAAAAAGAGTAAAGGCTTTCTTTCCCATGAACCAAGGACAAAATGAAATAAATTAAAAGTAATTATGTGTGGATATTAACAAGTTCAGACTCATTCAATTCTGAGAAGAAAATATTATTACTAACCATTAAATGCAGATTTTAGAGAATAGGCAGGCATAAAAGTTTCATTTACAAAAACTTTGCTTTTCTCAGAAACTTAAGTATTTTCCCCTATATTCTCTAAGTTAGGATCTAGAAACCTACCTGAGATGAGCAGGGCTTGAGGAGCTGAACAACAACCAGTGAGTGTTAGTCACTCCGCCGTGTCCAGCTCTTTGTGACCCCGTATGACCTTCCCTGGCTCCTCTGTCCACGGATATCTCCAGGCACGAATACTGGAGCGGGTTGCCATTCCCTTCTCCCGGGGATCTTCCCCATCCAGGGATCAAACCTAGGTCTCTTGCGCTGCAAGCAGACGCTTTGCCATCTGAACCACCAGGGAAGAACAGGTACATTGGGACTTAAACCCCAGTGCTACTGCCCTTGGGCTTTGACGTTATATAAACACTTCATTAATTACATTTCTGTTTCTCTATATTTCCTTGAGAGTTCAAAACAACTTAGCCCCAGCTTTTTTGCGCTTCACTGTTGTTACCAAATTGCTCTGTGTTAGGAAGAAAACTGCAAATTGTAGGACTGCTTGACAGTTACCCTGAAACTATTTCCTCCTTCTTTAGTAAAACAGGAAACCTAAAGAAACTCAAAAAAGATCCCTCCCCCCATCACTTCTAACTTCTTTGCATTATTCATTGTGTTTTTGAAACATTCTCCTTCATACCTCATTTAGGAGTATAACTACACTCTAACTGTATTTTCTTTTATATTGAAATATAATACATACATTACATATGCCATAAAATTCACCCTTTTAAAGTATATAGGTTTTTGTTTGTTTGTTTCAGTTTTATCTTGTTTTCAAGGCTTTTCAGTCTTCACCACTATCTACCTACAGAACATTTTCATCAGTTCAGTAAGAACCCTATACCTATTAGGTCTCATTCCCTGTCCCTGCTGACCCCAGCCCTGGCAACCACTAATATATATATTTTCTGACTCTGTGCAGTTTCTTATTCTTAGTCTTGCATATAAACAGAATCATGCAATATGTATTGTATTTTTTCTTCTCTCGGACATTTTTTCTTCAGTGAAATATTATCAAGGCTCATCCATGTTGTTCCTGTGTCAGAGTCAGAATTCTGTTTCATTGAAGGGCACGATAATATTTTATTTTATGGATATTGCACACTATATTGACCCATTATTCAGTTGGATAAATGTTGGGTTGTTTCTGCTCTTTATCTGTCATGGATAATGATGCTATGTTATTGTCAACACTACAATATTGGCAGCCATCAACACCAAATGTTATCTTACTCCTATTACCCAACCACATACCAAAGGGTATTTCATTAACTTTATGTCTCCCTCACATTCTCAAAACAAGGCAATTTTTTTCTGAGTTAAATTAATTTGTTTATGTAAGAATCTCTGTACTAAAGTTAAGGCCTCAGAAATTAGAGCAATGTTTATTTTGTATTTTCTAAACTTCATGGCACAAGGATTTGAAAAGGTGGTACTTTCTAAATATTTGCCATTAAGTATTTATGACTACTAATGTAGAAAATAAAGTGCCATGCTCAGTTGCTCAATCATGTCCAACTCTTTGCACCCCCCTTGGACCACAATCTGCCAGGCTCCTCTGTCCATGGAATTTTCCCAGCAAGAATACTGAAATTGGGTTGCCATTTCTTCCTCCAGTCAATCTTCCCAAACCTTGGATGGAACCTGTGTCTCTTGTGTCTCCTACATTGACTGGCAGATTCTTTAGCACTGAGTCACCTGGGAAAATAATGGGAAAATAATGGGAAAACTAGCAATATACCTATTTTGAAAATTTTTCTACAGATATAGCTTAATTGTACAAAAATGTCTTAATGATCTGGATAACCACGATGGTGTCATCACAAACTTAGAGCCAGACATCCTATAGTGTGAAGTCAAGTGGACCTTGGAAAGGACTACTATGAATAAAGCTAGTGGAGGGGATGCAATTCCAGCTGAATTATTTCAAGCCTTAAAAATGATGCTGTTAAAATGCTGCGCTCAATATGCCAGCAAACTTGGATTCCAACTCACACGTGGTCACAAGACTGGAAAAGGTCAGATTTCATTCCAACCTGAAAGAATGGCAATGACAAAGAATGCTTAGACTACCATGCAATTGCGCTCATTACACAAGCTTGCAAGGAAATGCTCAATATCCTTTAAGCTAGGCTTCAACAGATGGTAAAGCATCTGCCTGCAATGTGGGAGACCCAGGTTTGATCCCTGGGTCAGGAACATCCCCTGGAGAAGGAAATGGCAACCCACTCCAGTGTTCTTACCTGGAAAATTCCATGGACGAAGGAGCCTGTTAGGCGACAGTCCATGGAATCACAAAGAGTTGGGCACGACTGAGTGACTTCACTTTCACTTTCAACAGACATGAACTGAGAACTTCCAGATGTACAAGCTGGATTTAGAAAGGGCAGAAGAACCAGAAATCAAATTGCCAACATCAGCTGGATCATAGACAAAGCAAGAGAATTTCAGAAAAATATCTACTTCTGCTTTATTGACTATGCAAAAGCCTCTGACTGTGTGGATCACAATGAACTGTGGGAAATTCTTAAAAAGATTCAAATACCATATCACATTACCTGCCTCCTGATAAACCTATATGCAGTCAAGAAACAGTCAGAATCGGACTTGGAACAATGGACTGGTTCAAAATTGGGAAAGGAGTACATCAAGGTTGTATATTGTCACCATGTTTATTTAACTTGTATATGCAGAGTACATCATGCTAAATTCCAGACTGGATGAAGCCCAAGCTGGAATCAAGATTGCCTTAAGAAATACCAACAACCTCAGATATGCAGATGGTACCACCCTAATGGCAGAAATGAAGAGGAACTAAAGAATCTATTGATGAAGGTGAAAGAAGAGAGTGAAAACGATGACTTAAAACTCAACATTCAAAAAACAAAGATTATGGTATCTGGTCCCATCACTTCATGGCAAATAGATGGGGAAAAAGTAGAAGCAATGATAGATTTTATTTTTCTTGGGCTCCAAAATCACTATGGACATTGAAATTAAAAGATGCTTGCTCCTTGGAAGGAAAGCTATGACAAACCTAGAGAGTGTATTAAAAAGCAGAGATATCACTTTGCTGACAAAGAGCCAAACAGCTAAAGGTATGGTTTTCCTAGTAGTCGTGTAAGGTTGTGAGAGTGGTACCATAAAGAAGACCAAGGGCTGAGGAATAGGTGCTTTCAGATTGTGGTGCTGAGAAGACTGGGATCAAACC